GGAAGGAAGGAAGGAAGGAAGGAAGGAAGGAAGGAAGGAAGGAAGACAGGCAAACCTGTATTTTTGATATCTGACACTTGTTTGTTTTTTTGTTTGGTAAGTCAGATATTAGAGCCGCCTGTGAGACACGGAAATCCTGAGGCAAGGGAAAATATCTGTCCTGCTCAAGCACCTGACAGAGCATAAAGCCCTGAATGAAATTGAGGGCAAAGGGTAGGGAAAGGACTTCATTTCCGCACTGCACATGCTCCTTGTAGCTGCCTGGAGAAGGGTGCACATTTTTACATGACAAGGGGGAAACAGGTGCACACTTTCAGCAGTAGCCGTGCAGCTAACTTTGAGGTGGCAGCTCCACCTCCTTGCCTTATTTACAGAGCAACCATATGCTGGATCTAAAAGGAGCAACCATTCAAAAAATGATCCTGCTGCTGGAGGGGAGTTGAGAGAGCAAGTGGCTGATTGCGAACCGGAGCAATGTGGCAGCTGCTGTACATAAAAGTGATGGGGCCGAGGGGCTGCAGGGCTCACCATGAAGTCCAGCGGGGGTGCTGCATCCGACCTGGAGGAGCTCGAGAGTGGCAGCAGCGAGAGCAGCTCAGGCAAGTCCCTGCCTTCCACCGGTGCCCAAGGCAAGCGCAAGCGCAAGAGCCCTCGTCTGAGTGGCTTGAGCAAGCAGAGGCAAGCTGCCAACGCCCGGGAGAGGGATCGAACCCACAGCGTGAATACTGCTTTCAGTGCTCTCCGCACACTCATCCCAACTGAGCCAGCAGATCGTAAGCTGTCAAAGATAGAGACCTTGCGCTTGGCCTCGAGCTATATTTCACATCTGGCTAACATGCTGCTCTTACAGCAGCAACAAAGCGAGAGCTTGGGAGATGACCCTTTGGCTGTGAGGCAGCCTTGCCTGCAATATCAACCTGTCCTTCAGGGCGGCAGCACTACGGCGGCACCAAGACCAATCTGCACCTTCTGTCTGAGCAACCAGAGGAAATTGGTAAGGCTTGCCTCTGGCACTCAATGACTGATCAAGTGGTGGCCCATACAAAGCTGGGATGGTTTCAGCATGGCTGTAGTGAGAGGCAAAGGGCCTTATAGCAAGACAGTCCCAGGCTCTGGGATCCGGCGGACTGCAAGCCTAATACTGTACCTGAATAAGCTGAAATGGGAATCTGGCCATATGAAAAGGTGGAATCTAAATAATATCATATACTAGTTTTGTGTGTGTTTGTGTGTGTGGTATTTCTCATAGTTTACACTGACAAAGACAGAAAAGTGAAAATGAATTTTTAAGACAAGAATTTAAATGTTTGAGTGATTTATATATTGGATTTTCTGACTTTCAGGAATTCCAAGTGAAATTAACAAAGTCTGATGTCTTTAAATAAAATACACATCAGTTTGGCAGAGAGATCTTTTATTTAGAGGTAAAATAAGCATAAGATAGCTATTATAGTGAGCCTCTCAATAAATATTTGGTTTAATGTCTTTTTAAAAAAACAACAATAATAATGCATGCTTTTATACTATTTGCAGCACAGAGAAAAAGAGAAGCACTTGTCTCTTTAACAGCTTGATGGATATTGATTCGGCAGAGACGCTTCCACATATGCTGGACTGGTTATAGAAAGTTGTAGGTAATGTCTTGGAATTCCGTGCGAAAACATTTACATTGAAATTGTGCCATTATTACATGAAAAAGGGAGAAGGAATGACAAGTTATAGTGACCTACACTTTGTTTTCCCTTGCAGCAGGCTTACTCAAGGGGCTTTTTGCAGATGAAACTGAACACGATGGGGAAAGTTGCACCTGGCACAGCAGTTATTTTAGTGCGAGAAATGCTAAACCTAAAGCAGCCAAGCCCTGATACTGATGCCTCCTAAACCTCTGTCACATGATGGAACTTGAGCTTCCAAGCACCCTGTGTCTCCTCTTCCTGGAGACGCTCATAAGGTACCACAGCCCTGAGCCATGGCTGGATAGACTGAGCAATGCCCCCTTTCCTTCTTTTTCAGCTGCCTCTGCCAGAGTTTCCAGTGAAGGATTTCTACTGAAAGGCAGTACTGTACTGACAATTTGTACACAAATTAGAGGACAAGTACACACATAGATGCCACAGTGACTTCCTCAGTTTAATAACCCCCCACAGTCAAAGGGATACCTACCACTATGTCCAATAAGAAAACTATTTGTGCCTTTGTGAACCTCTGGGGGCTGTTTTATCACTCCAAACAGGCAATGAAGACTGAGGAAACACACACATACACAGCTCATGTTTAACTTCAGAGGGACTTTGCTGTCTGCACTCTTCTGGATAAAGAGCAGCTTCAGAGGTGGGTGGTGATGGTAATTTTCACTGGAATGGTGGCAGAGGGAGAACGTGTTAATTCACCCTCACATACACTGACTGTGGTCTGCTGTTGTTGTAAAAGTTAAAGCAAGAAGTGTTAAACGCATATTATACACATTTAATCGACCATATTATCTAGCTCCCAGATAATCACTGTGGGAAAATGTGAGGATTCCTTGTGTCCAATCAAGATTTCTAAAAAGCTGAAAATTAATCCCATGTATTTTTCTTGGTAATTGCCAATTCAGGAAAGTTTTCTGCTGTTTAATAATATTATAATGAATTTCATGTGATGGAAATTGGGCCCTAAAGGAGCCTAGCATGAAACACTTCTGGTTAATTTTGTGCTATATGTATTCAGACATGAGAAAGCAAGCACATAATTGCTATTAATCAGTGAGGAAAAGATAGCTCATTACTTTGCCCCAGCACGATGCTTATTCTCATCTCCAACCTGAAGGCAGGTTAACATGTTATATTTGCCATGGGTATCAACAGGTAACCCAATGACTAATTGCCTGCCACCCTGAGCCATGCTTCTTATTCTAACTCCTAATTACTCAGGGGAGTCCAGCCAGCTCCCATAGCCCAGCGACTTCAACAGGTGAAAAAAACCAGCTTTGTGGTGGCCTTAACTCCCACAGCAAGTGAGTTTTGACAAAACTACATGACCACGGTGGGAAATTTATCTCAGGGAATCCAGATTCCTGTGGCAAAATGGGGTAGAGACAGACTGATATTAGAAAGTGGCTCAGAGAGCTGTGAATGTACTCTGGGAGTACTTGTTGAAGGACATGTGAGCCAGTGAATAAGTAACTGCTTTGCTACAGCCACTTTGCTGGCTCTTGTCTCAATGTTACTTCCTCCTCCTTGGAGAATATGAGAGGAAGACAGTAAGAACCAGAGGTGTTGGTGGCTTCAGGAAATTACCCAAGCATGGGGAAAGAGAAAGGGAGCATTTTGTGCCAAAATGGTCTACTCACCTGCCCTCTTCACACCACGATTGCCAGTTCTCCCTCCTTCTCCTGCTGGGAGAGAAGGCACTTTAGAAACTAGCAGCATAGTTGTGAATTTTCAGAAGAGAACATGAGGATGCTTTATACCAAGCCAGATCATTGTGACTACTCACTCAATGCTGCCAACTCTGAATGGCAGTGGCTCTCCTTCCTGGGATTGCTTCTCAGCCTTACCAGGAGATCAGGTGATATCCTGTCTAAAAACTAAGCTGGCCCAGACCAATGCAGCTTCTAAAATCAAATAAGGCGTGTCCAAAGTGATTCTGTGCTGCTCATTCTGCACAGAGATGGGATTTTTGGATTTTCTGAATTACAAATGCCATAATGCACCATTCTAGGAGTTCTGCTTACCTGACGGCCACTTTGCAAATACCTGAATGCAATGCACCAGAGAGAAACGCCTAAGTCAGAAGGTTTTGAGGCTTAGCTAAGCCAAGCTCTGCCTCAGTACTAACAGGAAGCTTTCTTTCCAAGCAGGACCCTTGGACAGAGCTTGGCCTAGTTAGGCCATAAAGTCATCTGATTTAGGCCTTTCTCCCAGGTGTGTCACAATCAGATATTTGCAAAATGTCTGTAAGGTAAGTAGAGCTCCCAGAATGGAAGATTATGGTATATGTAATTCAGAAAATCCAAAATTTCCAACCCTGCAGGAGAAGTTGTAGCCACGCTCAAGGGTTTTCACAAGAATGCATGGATTTGGGGAAGGCAAAGTGCAAACACAAAAAGTATTGTGCACGCATACAATATTTGTAAATAGCAATCTGCACATATAAAGAATTTTATATTTTGCCAGGGGATGGGGTGGGGGATGCATTTTCTTTCTTCAGACAACTTTGCTGTTTTCAAAATGTTGAACTTGGTGTAAATATTTTTGTATCATCCATTCGGGGTCAGTTCTTCCCATCAAACAAGCCAATAAACTAAAAGGTACAAAAACTTACACAGATTCTCTGTTTCCAATGTATGCTGCTGCATTTTCAAAATAAAAAAAATTCTTTTTCTTGTCTTTCCAAAGAGGGTGTGTATTGACCTATCCCACCCTCCTTTCTTGTCCTAACCATGAATGCTTGGCAAACATTCCATATTTAGAAGTGAACTATTTGCTTCTCTTTAAGCCAGTGATCCTAGGTACACTTTCTCAGGTAAGCCTTCCTGAACATCATTGGACTAGCTTTTGCAGATTCTTCCACAGGCAAGCACTTTCAATATTTTCAGTGACAGAAGTCAGGATGGTGTGGGAAGTGAGGAAAACATTCCATCTTGAGATAGGACAGGCTAGCAGGGCATGAGAATAGTACATGCAGAGAGGCATAGGGTTGAGAAAGGATGGGAACCATTGGCTGAAGATGCCTCACACGTTCCATTGTCCAGTCACGGGGAAATAATTTTAATCAAAGTGAATAAGCAAAGTTATTTTTCAGTGCTACTCAGACTGGGGTGTTGTTTTTTTGGTAAAGCTAACAGGTCTTAAGTGTCCATTCAAAGTCAAGTCATTCTAAAATGTTTTGTATTGCTACAGGTTTCACACACAACATTGTATTGTTGCCAGAATTTGCTGGTCACATATTATAAGTTACAGTGCTACCTGTAACATGTTCTTTTTTTGGTACCCAATTTACCATTGTTATTGCTTTTAAAAGAGAAGAGAACAAGTTGTAACCTCATGGAGTCTGTATTTGAAACATGACTTTGTTATTCTTAAAATGTTGTTTTGCAGATATGTATTGACTGTTTTGCATTTTTAATTTAAAAAGCAATAAGCAGCATACACTGGCATGGGCTATGTTTTGGAAACTTATAGTCAGCACTCTAATTATGGCTGAGAAAATGCATCCTCCCTTCCACCTACTGCAACACTTGCAGAAATGCCAGAAAGACAGCACTTGACATAACTCTTGCTTTAAAATAGGCCCTGATGTTTTATCTCACTGCAATCTCCCTCTGCTACAAAATTACTGGAAACACCCATTCCTTCCATCTCAAGCAAGCAGTGAGTCATGTTTTACTGGAAGATAGAAATGGGCATGAACCAGACCAATGGCAGTTCATGGTTTGTGGCTACCCATGAATCACAAACTTTCTGAACTTTTTTTTAAAAGAACCATGAACTAATTCATTTTTTTAGAAAAAAAAATTCATGCCTAGGGGCAGGGGAACTACACCCACCCCCTCTGCCACCCATCTGATCCCTTCTCACTGCCCCCATTGCTTCCCTACCTGGTCCTACTGCCTCTTCCTCCTCCTTCATCATCATTCTGGCTGCAACTGGAAGCAAATGAGCTGCCTCGATCCAGCGCCACATATCCCTGATCCAACCCCTCAGAGCCACACATCCCTGATTCAGCACTATGCTGCTATGCAGCTTACAGGTAACGTTGGTCCCAGCTGATCTTCCTGATGAACTGGGAGCCCGGTGCATGTGTAGAGATAGCAGGCCGCACTCACAGAAGCCAAGCCATTGTCTCTGTGCATGCCTACAGCTGTCAGCTAATAGGCGGGGGAACATGCACAGACAGCAGGCTCAGCTCCCGGAAGGGAAGCCGGGCTGCTGTCTCTGAAGACGGTGGCAGTGGAAGAGGAAGAGGAGGCAGCACAAGGTAGGGAGGCAACGGGGACAGTGGGAAGGGGACAGGGGGCAGGCTGTGAGGGCATGGAGGGCAGACAAACCAGGAAGTTCATTAAATTGCTAAAAAAAAGAGAGAGAGTTCATTTGTTCAGTTTGTTTTAGTTTGTCAGTTTTGATGAACCCGAACCAACAAATCAGCAAGTTTTGACAGACATCTTGGTTCATTCTTTTGGTTTGTGTCCATCTCTATCGGAAAGCCATTGTGGTTTAATGGTTTTGATGAACCTGAACCAACAAACCAGCAAGTTTTAACAGACATCTTGGTTCATTTTTTTGGTTTGTGTCCATCTCTATCAGAAAGCCATTGTGGTTTAATGGCGAGGGCGTCAGATTAGCCCTGGTGAGATCTCAGTTCAGATCTCCACTTGGCCTGCTGGATGCAGACTGGGTAATCTAGGGCCAGTCACCATGTCACAGACACACCTACTACCTCACAGGGTCATTGTGAAGATAAAAATGTAGAGGAGAGCAACATATGCCTCCTTGAGTTCTTTGGAAACCTTGTATGTCAGTGTAACAAGCAAACTGTTATTCAGCTTGAGAAGAGATCAGAACTCAATCAGAGCACGTTGTTGGGCTACAGTCACGTGCACTTTAGAAATGGATATTCACAGCCAGCTGAGCTCTTTTTAACTGACATGTGTCTCAGCTTCTAGACAAAAATCCAAGGCAATGTGCTTGTTGTTGGACTAGAAAAGGCACAAGACATTTCAGAGCTTTCCCACAATTCAGTGCTTTCCCACAGTTCCGAAACAAAATTGTCTCACACACCAGCAGAGCAGGGAAATACCTAGTTCTTGACATGCTACTTTTCTATATGGACATGTCCTCACACTTTGGTTCTCCCTTCTGCCATCACTGAATCTGCATTACAAAACGGTGCAGGCCAACAATGGATGGATAGATCAAACAGGAAATCTGGTAAGCCTACTTCTGATTACTAGCAGATATATGATTGGTTTGTTGTTAAAGCCGATTCTCACATTGTGTACTAAATCTAGGCATGCTCCCACTCCTCTCTTCCAAATACATGCCACTGTAACGTAGGCTCCTTCCAACTGTTTCCATGCCATAAATGCTCCTGGAAACAAGCATGCTATGTGCAGCCACATACTGGAACTATTCAGCTGCCTGATACCAGTGTCAGGGCAAATCCATCTTGGGCCAAAGGCAGGTCCCCATAGAGGTGTACCCCTTGTCAAATCAGCTGAACCACAAGGAAGATTCCTCACAAGGAAGATTCAACCAAACGGGGATGTGATCCTTTGCTCAGGATTGAAATTTGAGGAGGGCTGGACAGTGACTCAGACAAGTTCTTGAAACAGTGTGGGATCTTTCTAAATTTGTTTGAAGCCAGGGGAGTTCCCAAGAGCTCTCTAAATTTATCTGCCCTGCTGGGTTGTTGCCATGTTGTTCTTGTATGTTACTGTGGGCGCTTGTGGTACAGGAAATCTTTCTTTCGAATTAAACAGAACATGCTTAAAATATGTTACATTTCCAAATGTTGGCAGAAGAACAAAAATGGAAAAGATTAGCTCACTCTTGAAACTTTCACAATTGTTAGCTAAATTTTCCTTGAGGGATTTGAATATTTAGAACAGGAATAGGAGGGGGGAAAGAGAGCAGCGTGCTGTAATATGGCTGCAACACCTGGCCTCTTGCTTAATATCTAAAAGCAGTTGGGGAAATCAGTCAAGATTAACAATCCCTCAATTATGATTTCTCAGCATTCCTAAACTTTAATTGTCTTTATAAATATGTCATGAGCGAAAGCAGTGTTTAATGGCACATTGGATTGTTAACTCTCTGTGCTGTCTGATATCCTTGCCTCACTCTGTCCTTCCGTCATAGACAAAGAGTAATATAAAGGTGGTAGATGCAACACTGAGTAAAACAAAAATCATCTTCACTAAAGCAGCTTCTTGGCTTATTCACAGCATTACAAATGTCTATGGCTGTTCCCAAGATAAAGCCACCGGTCTGGGGAATAACATGCATTTGCATGCTAAATTGTATTTTAAAAGCACACAGTTAATGTAGTGTATGTGTTTATTTTCCAGGTGAGTCACTATGGCATGCTTTCCCATTTTCCCTTAGAGGTCAGTGTTCAGTTTTCACTGGCCATTTGCCCACTGTCCTCCTGTTTACTTGACAGCCCCAAATTATCCTATTCACCATGAGTAGCGTCAGAATTTGCACCCCATCATAAACATATCCATTGTAGACTGAGTAGCATTGTGATAAATAAACTGTATTATAATTGCTTTTGTCCCATGATTTTATAGTTGATTACTTTGATGTTAATATATGTTTAATTGTTTTTTTAAAATGTGATATTTATATAGTGTTTTAAATTTCTTATTTTACCTGTTGTGGGCTGCTTTGGGTCCCTTATGATGAGAAATACAGCACATAAACCAACAAACAAATAAACAAACTAACTATTGAGCAGCACTAAAAGTGGCAATCATCATCATCATTATCATCATCCCCACAATGGACACAGGCCTTACTGAGACAGAGGAGCTTCTGTGGTTCACTGAGGTTGAGAGCTATGCTGGCAGTCTGAAGAGTCTCCCAAGGCAGATATGTCTCAAGCCAGACCAACCGGGTCCACCAATTATCAGTCAAGATGAGAATGTGTGGTTTGCCCAAGGCCAAACGTGCTGTCTCTTCTCTTACAAGGCATGGGGGGGGGGAGTCAAACTCCTAACCCCAGATGCTCCAGCTCATTGAGCTATCCACCCAGCTAAAGTGGCCATAGGCCAAGGCAAAACTGCCCAATGTGTAGAACCCAGGCTTGTGTATACATCCCTCCTTTATTTTGTAGTGGCCAGAATTTTATGAGCAATTTGTACTTGGAATTTCATTGAGTTCATGGCCCTAGATTGTCATTGGTTGTATTCCAGGGCATGTGCTAGCAACAAACCAGCATTTTTAACTAAGCCACCCCTGGCCCCCTTAATAAAAATAGTTTTCAAAAAGCTTTTTGCTAAAAAATAATAATAATAATCCCTATTTCCACATCTCCCACTCCCAAATAATATATGGCTAAAACAGCAAGTAGAGTTGGGAGGACATTCATTGTGGTACACTTTGGGTGATTTTGCCACAGTTTGGAAAACGCATATTTGAAGAGAGGAATCACAGATATAGGACAGAAAGAACTTGATTTTGAAAAAAATCAAACAAGGAAGAAGGCCAAATGGAGAGATTTTCTATTACCAAGTGAAAAGGCAGTTTGGCATTTGTTGCAAGCCAACCAACTGGTTCACATCTGTGG